CAAGGCAGGTTCTTCACCGCTCTGTTAACGTGCGGTGGGCACCGTTGCTCTCCTCGCTTTATCATCATCGTCAGTCACCATTAATTGCCCTTAATTCATAAAACTCCCGTTCGTTAAGCACTACCTTTGCTACCGTATTTCCTTCCTCCGGTAACACGTAATTAGCTGTGTTTCAAGCAGCCTTCGCCTCTGCCTGCCTCTCGAAGGGCACACCCCATCCAGCGCTCCCCGCTGATGCGGTGCCATCGCAGCCACACCAGCCTGGACTGTCGGTCGCTGTGTTCAGCTCCTGCTGGAGCCGACACTTGCTCCGGAGCTGGCCCCAGCCTTTCCCAGGGAGTGGTTTTTTTCCCGGAGCGGAGGGAAGGCCCCAGAGCCAGGATGCCCAAGGGGGCACCCATCTGTGGCTGACCCATTACTCCGTACCCTGTGCACACTGATGGAGGGGATACCCCGTGGCTCAGCTTCCCCGGGCAGCTCTTTTGCACAGCACGCTGTTAACATCACAACAGGAAAAGCAAAGCCCGCGCCCGTGGCTCAGCTCAGCTTTCACCAACCAGACACTCTCTTTCTTACAAAGACCATTTGTGAAAGGCTAATGCTGTGCCGCAGAGGGCAGGTCTGGTAGGATACAAAGGGGTCTGCTTTGTAAGACACCTCACTGCCCAAACACGATCCATGTGCTTGGTTCTTTGGTTTCTTCTCAAAACACTTCCAGGTTCCTTTTTCTCACCAGTCTTTATCTAACAGAGACCAATTTTCTTTGCTCGGCCTGTTCATAGCCCCCAGTCTCTAGGGCCTTTCAATTCCCACTAGAACCCAGGGGCTCCTCCTTCGAGAGAAAAGTCTGATCAGGCAAGAAGTGAAGTGGGGCCTGGGCTGAGAGCAGGGACTCTGCCAGGACGACTCACCTGTCTGACTTCAGCAGATCTGTGTGGGCCTGGAGAGGACAGAGAGCGCAGGTAAACTACAAAACACAGCGTAAAACATCTGTAGAGGGGTTTGGATATCAGGCTGTTGGTGATAGAGAGATGTGTGAAGAGGAGCCACCAGGAGGGGGAAAAAAACCTGGTGAGTTCATTGCCAAACATCTCCTTCAGCCCTCACAGAGATAAACCAGCTGTTATCCCAAGTCACATCAGGACTGTATTTAAAGCATTTTATTGCTTCACACAGTTAAAGCTGTGTCTCCTCTGGACAGGAAGGGAGCAGCTGGAAGACAGTGGTTTGACCTCCTTTTGGGAGCCAAGAGTGGAGCTTTGCAGAGGCTGAGTTTGGGCAATGCTGGGTTCGCTCAGCCCTGAGCAGTCACGCTGTGCAGAAGAGAGTGAGCCAAAGACTCCAGCAAGGAGAAGTGTCCCAAGGCCTGCGAGGAAGAGCCTTTCAAGGGGAGAAAGACATATACCAGCTCTGAGACACAGTGGCCCTTACCAGTGGGTTCCAGTTGCCCGTGTCAGTGCTGCCTAGAGGATGTTAAATTTGAGGGATTATTTTTTAGATTAACCTGTTGCAGACCTTGTGGCCCTCATTGGGAAGAGGGCACTTCCAAAACAAGACCAACACCGACAAATAACAGGGAGGGGAGTGAGAGCTGCCCTTTTTCTCACAGCCTAAAATAGAGGCATGAGAGCTGGCAAAAGCTTAAAACACACTGAGACTGAAAACACGTAAGTCACAGCGAGAGGTTCGGACCTCAGAGCATCTTTATAAGCTTGGAGACAGGTGGAAGCCCTGCACTGGCATGCGCAGGGAGAAGCTGCTGGGAGCAGCTCTGCGCTGGCATCCCAGGATCCGGGAGGCTGGAGGTTGTCAGTGAAGCTTTAACATCAGGGCTTCATCAGCTACAACGCTACACCTCTGGGCTGATTTCCACATCGCCTTTTTGGGTACTTCCCCAAAAATACATGGTGTCTTGTTCCTAGAGAAGCCTGGAGCCCAGCTTGTGTTTTGTCTCCTCTACAACTCTCCTTCTAAACCATCTTGCTGCAGCTCTGGCTCCTAAAGCCTTATTAAACAAACCTTTGCTCTGTAAGGCTGGGAGACACAGGGAGCCCAGGGATGCTGATAACCCTGTGGCGTGCTGCTCCATGAGACAGCTGCCCGTCTGCAAGGGGTATGCAGGCAGGGGAAGGATGGGGGATTTGGGAGCACCGGGGCTGGGGCACATTTGCTGCCTGTCCATGAAGGACCAGCATGGGGTTGCTCTGCTCCTCATTGGCTTTGGGGCTGGGGTCTGTCCCGGTCCATTTCATAAGGGAACCAGTCCCCTCCTACAGCCCCACTCTGCAGTACCTGGGGGACATTGGGGGTCTGTAGATGTAGCTTACCTTGTCAGAGTGCTCAGAGGACATGTCTGCTGTCGCCAGGGAGGGCTGACAGGAGCTACTGGTGTAAGCCCCAAAAAAGGCACAACTAGGAGCAAGATGGAGGTGAACAGGCAGACAGTGGCTGGTCCCCTTGGGAAGGAGCATGGGTGGTGGCTGTGAGCCCTGAGACCAGGAGCCCCGCTCTCCTCCTCAGGGCAGCAGGCCCCCACCACGACCCTCATGTCACTGTTGGATGCAATGTCCTGCTGGAAGTCCCTGCCACCCTGGGATGAGGAGGGTCCCAAGGATCTCACGACTCTCCCCTCTGGTAGGGACATGCAGGGGCAGGGAAGGGCACTGGTCCTCCCGTGGGCACGTGATGCCTGTAGCAGCCTCAGGAACATGAGGGAGCTGCCAGGGCTCATCATGTTCCCCTTGCCAGTGAAGCCTCAGTTAAACATCCTCACAGAGCTGGAGGGAGCCCTGACACCTGGAATGCACCTCCCAAACCTCCCATGCCAGTAGTGCCTTCCGCTGCTTCTGCCTGCCCCAACAGATCCTCTCATCATGGCTGGAGCAGCCACGTCCCTCCCAGGCACCCACCTCCCTGCCATCCACCCTGACACCCCATGCCATGGGAGGAGCAGGAAATGAGGCCACACACAGGACCCAGAGTACTTGGGGATGCAGGGGCAGAAGTGACAGAGGTGGCCGCACGAGGCAGGCACCCAGCCCCACGGGCTCTGGGCAGAGCTGCCTTGAAAACTGTCAGCGCTGGGCAGGAGGTTGTCGGAACTTTTTTAACCCTAATCACCACTCTTCACAAACTTATTTTATTAACGTCCTTGGGTTTACTTAACTTCCCTTTTAAAGGTTTAATACTACCGTGGTGAAACTTTTACTGTTAAAACCAATACAGAAACCATCACGTACCTCCCTTGAGTGCTGCACACAGTTTTCCTGAGCCTACAAGCACAACCAGTCAGGCTGATAACACATGCAGGGATAGGGAGAGCCTGCACGGACAGGGACAGACTCCTGGAGCTGGGGTGCCACGTGGCCCCCTGCATGGCACGGATAGGGGAGCCGTGAGTCCCCGTTACCCGAGGCACTCAGTGCAACCGCCGAGGAGGAGCTTCACGGGGTGTTGTTGAGGCAGAGCCCATGTAGGCTGTGTCCCAGGACACCGTAGATGCCAGAAGTAGAAATGGGGTACAAAAGGGATCCAACAAGCTCCTGGACAATATGTCCAGCTGTAGGGGTGCAACTTGCACAGTCTGCACCACACTGCATGTGTGGAGGTTCACATCACCTCAACACCTGCCACCGGCTTTCCCTGCCAGGGTACCTCAGGACCTGCCCTGTCCCAGTGTCCTGTGCCAGCCCCAGGAGGAACCTGTATTATGGCTCTGAGGGAGTCTGCCCCAGCTCCAGGCTGGTACCCGAGCTCACCCTTAGGGTTTCCAGCTCTGCACTGCTCCAGGGTACCACTTGTGTGGAGCAGCACAGGATACATTGGCAGCCAGCCCCAGCCCCCTGCAGCAGGGGCAGGAAAGGGGAGACTAAGCACTGCAGGAGCACTACTTAAGGCATGCAGGAGCAAGAGCTGGGGCTGCTTCCAGACCTGGCTGAGCCACAGGGGTCATCGCAGCACCAGCGAGAAGCTCAGAGCTGTGCAATGAGCCCATCCCAGCCTACCCTTGTCACCAGGGCAAGCCACAGGAAAGCAGGAAACAGCAGCACCCACAGCCATCCTGATGAAGGCCACCAGCCCCCTACACACGCCAGGATATTCCCAGCGAGATAGGTACCCCTCAGGCCAGCCTGCCCCTGTATGAGGTGAAGGAACCCCGGTGAGGTGTTTCTTGGATGGGAAGGCCCACAGGCAGCCGGGTCTCTGCTGTCCTAACCTTGCACCAGCCCAGCCAGGGAGAAGGAAAGCCACAGGACATGCGGACTGGGATGGGAACAGGAAGGAGATGGTGCACAGAAGGAGGTACCAGCCCCACACTCTAGTGTGAAGGAGAGAGGCAGCTCCCCCAAGGGTCTGCCAGTACCCACCTGAGCTCCAGCACATGGGTAGCCCCAGCCTAGACCTGACCAGCTGGTTGCCCATCTCCAGCACCACACCAAGGGCAGCCCCTCAGGTAATGCAGAAGTTGGTGCTGGGGGCAAGCCCTGGGCCACCGCAGGACTGACCTCCCCAGGGTGCCCATGGGGAAGAGTCCACTCTGCAGCTGCTGGAGAGGGGTCAGGAGCGCTCGTACTGCCAGCTCCTGCGTCTGACACCAGGTTTTATTGAGCAGGGCAAGACTGGGATGCAGCTGTGAGTACGTGAGAGGTCCTGGCACCACTAATTCCCTCCCGTTCCTCACCAGGAAGGCTCCCTCCCACCCTGGCACCCTCCTGGGCTGCCCCATGCCAAGGCTGGGACGGACGCAGCC